CTTCACTAATATTAGCAGGAATATAATTAAAAGTTTCTTGACCACATGTAAAAAACCATCCTTGCAGTAGCCAAACATGTCCAAAATGAAAGGAAGTCTCTTCAAAAGCTGTGCAGTTTAAAACAGGTGTGATAATGCGATGACAGTGAGGTTTTTTACTTGAAGAAGTACAATCAACTATTTTTGCACATGTTATATTTGCAGGGATAGCTACCACCGGGGTGTGCAAAGCAATAGCATCAGGGGGTAGATAATAAGCAGTAACCCCCCATCTAGATATAGCCTTATAGTTAAAGTTCCCATTGAATAAAATTCTGCTCAAGCCAGTGAAGTTTTGAATTACTGCAGAAGGGGTGCAAACAGACTAAACATATAGAAAGCAAATTTTCATGTCATACATTTCAGATAAGCAAAAGATTATTTTGTATGATGTTAGCCAGCTGCACCCATAGATTTTGCTTCATTCATTGCTCAAATGATTGTTTGGGTGGGATGACAGTTGCTGTTGTCAAAGGGCAGATGTTAATAATCAGACACAAACAAATGATGGCTAAGGAATTTGCAGTTAAAACCGCAAAAATGGTAGCACACAGGTTCTCGGGAGTTTGCTCTACTTGTTGCTGTTGTAGCACTGCCTGTGCTTTGGCGTTCAAGTTCTTTACATCTCCCCATGTCACTGGCCGACTGGCATGTCGGGATCGGATTGGTTGCTGTGCCATCTGTAGAATCACCCTTGCCATTTCTGGGACCAACCATGCTTTGTCTAGTAATGCCCAATAATATACCAGTGGCGGAGGCAAGCTTGTTTTCTGTTGAAAGTGTCTCTGATAAGTGGTCGAATTTTGAATGGAAATATTCAATTGGTGTAATATAAATAATATTTTTTTTAATCTGTTGTGTTACCCATGACAAATTGGGTACTCTAGATCCGTCCTTTTTTGTTTGTGAAGGCAGTCCTTAAAGGACCGATTAGCACGTTCAACGATGGCTTGACCCGTGGAATTATAGGGAAGGCCATGAGTAAAAACAATATTCCAGATTGTGCAAACTTGCAAAAAGGCCACTGAAGAATAGGCTGGCCCATTATCAGTTTTTAAGGAAGAGGGCTTACCCAAGGCTGTAATAGCCGAAAAAAGATGGAAAACAACATGTGCAGCTGTTTCTCCTCATTGAGGCGTGGCCCAAATTGTTCCTGAATAGATATCAATAGATAAATGAATACATTTCCAGGAAGCCAAAAAGAGAACATGGGTAACATCCATTTGCCATAGTTGATTAGAGGCAAAACCATGGGGATTAGGAAGACATTAAAAAAAAATAGGCCCAGGAAGGGAGGAGTGACTGCGTATATGAAAAATAAAATATAAATGCTTTCAGTTTTGTAGCAGCTGCTTTCAAGGGAAAAACAAAGTCATAAGACTGGAGTCAATCCTGGGTGTGATGTAAGCACCTGGAAGATTAAAAATGGCACACATAATGAGAGTCAGAGAGTAAGTTAAAAGACTGTTGAGAAAAGGTGTGAAAAGCCAAGATAACAGCAGCTAATTCTGAGCATTGTGGTGAGGACTGTATTGCAGTGTAGGACACTTTTTAGATAACATCATGAGGATCCTTGTAAGCAATTGCTCCTCTCGTTCTCCCTCCATTGGAAAAGACAGTAGGACAGTGGTTCTCAACCTTTTTAATGCCGTGACCCCAACCGGTCGTAAGTCGAGGACTAAACCGGTCGTAAGTCGAGGACTAAACCGGTCGTAAGTCGAGGACTAAACCGGTCGTAAGTCAAGGACTACCCAACCGGTCGTAAGTCGAGGACTTTCCCTGCCCGGGAGCGCCGCGCATGCGTGGTTCTGCCCCCTGCGCCGGCCGAAGTGTAGCTGGCAAGCGGCAGAGACGGAGCAGGCCAACTACCAGCTGGCCCAGCCCAAGGGAGGTAAGGCACCCGCCGGAAAAGGGGAAAAAATGGCGGACAAAAAAAATGGCGGACAAAAAAATGGCGGACAGCCTTGCTTGGCGACCCCCATGAAATGGTCGATCGACCCCAAATGGGGTCCTGACCCACAGGTTGAGAACCACTGCAGTAGGAGCTTGTGGCAAGGGAGAAGGAGAAAGCAGTGGATGGACAGGAAAGAAAAAATCATTAAACAAGCAAGTCAAGGACCGTTAGGCAGATGATATGAAATACAGCCAATATAGTCAGTTAAAGCCCACTAAAGAGATACGTTTTTCTGAAAATAAAATTGAAAATCAGATTTTGGGATAGAAAAAACAAAATTAAATCAGTTCCATTTTGATGGCAAGCTCGTGTGCGTCCTAAGGTTATTATTTCAGCAACCACCTGGATAAAAAAATAAAACATTTTGGGATGGGGTGTGGGGTAAGTAAAGTCATTTAATACAATATATTTTTTGTACTTTTATCGCAGCTAATACTCCGGTAGGTAATTTACTAGTAGGAAAAATCAAAAGTGTTAACTAACATTTTTTATGTGGAATTCTGTCCACAAATTGAGTATTCTAGATGTCATTAATTTGTTCCACTGTGGCAAGTGCTGCAGATGGAACTACAATGAAATTTTCAGGTTGTTTTCCTTTGGTCAATAAATCAAATAATGGACTGAGCAAATTTGTAGGCAAAGAAAAATATGGGCAAACCCAAGATAGGATGCCTAACAATTGCTGTAAATTGACCAATGAATTGCTGCCCTTCTGAAGCATCTGAGCCATATTTTTCCACTGCTTGACGGCATTGAATACCATTGATGTAAGATCTGTACTGGAGCCCGATGTTCAAGATGTAAAGTATGCCCTATCTTAGCCTAAGCTTCCCGGCGCTCAGGATTCAAAGGGCAATGTTTCCCTACCTCGCCCACCAGCTTCCTTATGTCCGCATCAAGCGTTGCCACTCCTGACCTTTGTAGCAGGAATCTGAGCTCCTGTATATGTTTCTGCTGGTGCTGAGATAGCTTGCGACCTATACTTACCACTGAGGGGTCTCTGAAGACGAGAGTGCACTTAGGGGTCTATTCCAGACGATGGTATGTTGGCTGTCACTCCTTCCCCGGGGGGGTGTTCCCAAAAGATCACGTCGGGGGTCACCACCTGTAGTAATCAGTGCTCAGTCATTGCAGGGTGCAAATATGGCTGACTGCTACGCAGCGTTTATTGCCTTATATACAGTTTTACAAGCAGCAAAAGTTTAACATGGCAATAGCATAGTAACAGCATTTCTATTGGTGAAACCCTTTACCAATGCTTAAGGATAGAAAGCCAGAGGCCCAAAACAGGGGGCAGTTGGCTGT